TATATATATATGCATACAGTCGGTAACAAAAATATTCAAACACCTGATATAAATTTGATATTTAATGTTTTGTATTTCTACAACATTATCCTTTTCCCTTGAAATCGTTCTACATGTAAACATCATATTTGTTCTAATCGACAAAAATAATCGTAAGTCATTCACATCATTCATTATTTTTACAAATGTCAATTTAAACAAATGTAACTATCGTATTAATGTTCATTGCATTATTATAACCTTTTCACTTGGTGAAAGGGTTCGTTGTGATTTTCTACATGTAAAACTTTTCGCACGTTTTCCTAATGTACAGTGATAACCCCACGTTCCTCCTATAATATTGTGGCTGTTTTTTAAAACACTTGTGTCTGCGATCCTTTCTTATTATTTTTTTTATTTATTTTTTTTTTTAAGCATGTCACGTCTATCGCGAAAACTTCAAATTCGTAGATATCCATTTTGATGAATCAGATTTATACTGTCTTTATTTATTATTATTTTTTTTTTAATATTTTATGATTTTCGTACAATATTCTTACTGATCGTTAAGAAACATGAAATTTCAAACTTTTGTATTTAGGAAAATGTGTTCTTATTTTTACATATCATTGACTCTTCCTCTATGTTATAAACATTATATTTGTAACAATACAATGTAGAAATAAAAAATGTACAATAAAATGTACAATGTAACATAACAAACATCGTAATAATAACTAATAATATTTCACAATACTCTAATATTTTTCTGCCCAACAAATTATCGACTTCTTCGATTTTCTTGCATTATGATAACAATTATTTATGATAAATATTTTTTGTATTGTTGTTATTTAAAAATTGTGAAATATTACATCATAATATATTTGATTAGTCATTAACATAATTTAAAATACAAAACATCATTATTAAATCTATATTGCTGTCCGAATATTTTCGTGACCGACTGTATGCGTATATGTATATGTATTACTAAAGAGAGAGAGAAAGAGATAGAGAGAGAGAGAAAGAGAGAGAGAAATAGATAGATAGATAGATAGGTAGATAGATAGATAAATAGAGAAAAAGAGAGAAAAAAAATCAGTGTGTACGTAAAGGAATATAAAAGATAGAAAGAAAGACAAAGACAGAACCAGTGTGTACGTAAAAGCATATAAGAGATAGAGAGAGAGAGAGAGATAGAGAGAGAGAGAGATAGAGATAAAGATAAAGAAAGAGAGAATAATAAAAAAAGGAGGAGGAAAATGAAACGCGTAGCAAGGTTTTCCGACGATACTCGACATTTTTTTCTTTAACCACGTCTCTATCCTTTTATTTCTTCATCCCCTTCCCCTCCCTCTTCTCGTCTCTTCTTTCCCTCGCGCCATCGTGCACCTTTGTTCGTGCACCCCTTTCTCTTCTTCTTTCGTGAAAATATATTCGAGAGGAAAAGCCAGAGGGCAAGTGTCGAGGGATAAAAGGAATGAGAAAGGAGAAGGAGGAAAACTTTGCCATTTTCCGATGGCACCCTTTGTCGCGTACGTGGCGTGTCATCGAAACGCGTCCTTTCCCATCGCGAGCAGGAGGTGAGGTCTCTCTCCCTCTCTCTCACTCTCTCACTCTCTCTCATTCTCTCTC